GGACTTGAACTGCTGTTGCTCAGAGCTCAAACTCTTGAGCGAGCTCTTAACCAACTGAGCCACTTGGCTGGCCCAAGTTTGTATTATTTTTAAATCTAATGATCAATGCCTTTCCCAAAAAGTCATTCAGTCAGCCTTTGAAAAAATAATTTAGGTTAGGGAAGCAAAGACAAGTCGGGAGACCTAAGTTAGAGTCTTTGCTTTGAGTTCCTTTAAGTGTGGTTCTTTGTGTCCTAGTTTCTTTATCCATGAATGAAGCATGGTTGACAAGATGATCTTTAAGGTCTATTCTATTTCTACAACTCTGTCTTCTTTTATCATCCCCAAATTTCTGATATTATGTTTAACCCACTGTGAAAATGGCCCAAGACTGAATCATGGGCCCAAAAGAGAAGTAACAATTTATTGCCAAACACAGTCAAAGTAGAGATGTATTGATATGCCTTGTACTTCATTATTAATTTAGTGTCTTGGGGAATATAAAATCTGAGATCCTTACTATGGTTATTTTCCTGCCCTTTTTTATTTGGGATGCTAAGGAAGAAATAAATACTAAAAACAAGAGCAGATATTTGGAGTATCAAATCTGAGACACCAGAAAATTAAAGCTGAACTGATAGAAAATTTAAGGTCTGATATCTAAATTATAACTAACTTCTCCTCATTCTTTGCTGTTATTCAATAAAAGTGTCACCTTAACCTAGAGAACAGATCAAGTTATCTGTTATCAAGTATCACAGATACCTCAAGTAAGTATCACCACGAAGTCAGGGACAGAATCTCTTAGAAAATATACTGGTATGTGTGTATATTTTTGCTGTCAAGTTACATGAAAATAATAATTCAATTACAGATACCAAAAGGGCAAACTACTACACAAATGCGGTTCACATTCCTTTGAACCAATCCATTTTGTCCAGAGTTGAAGTCCTCTTTTGCTTAGTATTGCTGGTACAGATTATTATTGGGTTGTTGGAAAAATCATGACGCATTTTTGTAATGACAAACATAGAAAAATACGTCATGACTTTTCCGACAACCCAATATTAGACTATGTTTAATGGCTTTAAATGGAGCACATAAATTTTACCCTAAATTGAGAAGATTGAAATATTCTGCTCTTACCTCTCTAAGCAATCTGTCAGATATATGACTTACTACATCATGGGTTTCCAAGACTTCCCCAGGGGGAATGGGGCACGTGGCAGAGTTGCATTGTCCACCATTGCCCAGGCTTTGATTTCAAGCATAGCAATCTTTGTTTTCAAATCGGTCAGAAAGGCACACAGTGAATGGCAATCCCTTTTGGATGCTGCCCCTTTAGGTACATGAATACAAACTGCACACTGTTATTGACAATAGTGACCACAGAAATGATGTCTCACCTGGAGTGTGATGGCAGCTTTCTTGGTCATGGACTGATAGATACCATTAAATTCCACATTGTGGTCTAGATCATACACTGGGCACTGAAATGTACATGGGGGATAAAAAGGAAAGCATCAGTAATGTCATATCATGTCACACTGTGCATACCACACATACAAAGTGGGGGTTCTGTACTCAGCCATAGACCATAAAAAGTTTTCCCCTAGAATAGTCATGAAACAGTTTCCTGAAACTTGGTGCCTTGTCCTCTAAAGTCAAGGTCACTTTATGTTAAAGAGAAATGAAAAGTTGTCTTGAAGTTTTTACCTTTCCACTTTTTATTAATACCTTATAAGGCAGAAAGGGCCTAAGGTTACAATAAAATTTTTATATTAAATTTATTGAGGTAACATTGGTTAATAGCATTGTATAAATTTCAGGTGTACAACATTATAATTTGATAGCTGTAAACTCTATTGTGTGCCCACAACCTAAAGTCTAGTTTCCTTCCATTACTGTGTGTTTGACCCCCTTTGGCCAGTTCCCCCTCCCCCATCCCCTTTCTTTCTGGTAACCACCATCTGTTGTCTGTATCTATGAGTTCGTTTTTGCTTTATTTTGTTTTGCTAGTTAATTTGTTACTTTTTTGTTTTATATTCCACACATGAGCGAAATCATATAGCTTTTGTCATTTTAAAAACTAAGAACACATGGTAGGTTTCTGGTTTTTTTCCTGTTATCCACAACTTTGTCTTCCTTGTACTTTGTCATGATCATCCCTCCCTCCCTGTTACCCTTCCTTCCTTCCTTCATTTATTTTGGTGAGGAGCCAACTATTCTCTATCTTCCCAAATCAATGTCGCTAAACATGGACTGCCTACTTGTGTGCAGAAGATACTGTTCTTTTTAATCAGCAGTTTTGCAGGAGATACATAGATATGTCCCCCACCCTCCTCGTTCATTTATCCTGGGACAATATAATGCTCCATATTGGAAAGTTGACAAGCTATTAAGACTCACCATGATATTCTGCACTGAGACAACAGAACATGGGTAAGCCACTTCAGACACAACTTTAATAATAACTGAGTCCACATCTTCAGGAAATTTGTATAGAAAATACTGAGAGCAACAAAAAGAAAGCCATGGCTTGTTAATATCAAGCAATGTTTACAATCATGAATGCAAACTATTTTCATATGAATCAGATTGTTTCCTCTAATATTAGTCCCAAAGTTTAGATACGAATCTCAATAAACCTCCATTAATTTAGTCAGCCATTCATCTCACACATATTGAGCAACTGCTCTCTGCAGGGCTCTGGGCCAGACCTTAGGAATAATACAGCATGAACAAAACAAAGCAGTCATTTCATACAATATTGCCATTTCATTTTCTATGGTATTTTTTAACTAAATTTTGCTGCACTTCATTTCAGTTTCTACTTAAAAAGATCCCTCCTACCTTTGAATGAAGGACATGTAGGATGTAATATGAGACAAGATTTACTTTGTGGTTATTTTGAAACATGAAGCTCTACCCTGAAAAGCAGATAAGCCTGTTCTTCAAGATCTTAACCACCTTCTTATAGCCAAGAGTCAGCACTAGACCCACCCTTCCCCTAGACTTTTTGCTAAAGAATTTATTTCCTGGCTGGAATATAGTGAGATGACATTTAGATTCAAAGACCAAGCCTTACATCTAGCCCTCTGAAATATGCTCACAATTTTGGGCAGGCTTAGATATCTTTAGAAGTATTTCTCAAATATCATCAGAATAAGGAAACATTTACAATAGAAAGAGGTTATACTATTTACCTACTTAGACTATAAATCCATTGAAAAACTTATTAAGGAAACACTTAAAATACACAGAGGTTCTATTATTTACCTATTTGGATTATAAATCTATTGAAAATATTATTAACTCTTAAGTTTCAAACGTGTTGCTAATAATGAAGAAAGGGAACTTCTGCCCAATAATTTTAAATATGGTAACTGGTTGAGAAAATTGACATAAAATATGTGATTAAGATTTTGAGGAAACCAACCAAAACATATTTTAGGACTCTAACACATCTATTACTTTAAAGGTGAAGCAAAACATGTTAAAACTTAACATTGCATTCTAACATCCTCTTTACTAACCTTATTCTGAGAACTAGAGCAACAAAAATACAGTGTTTTTCAATAACCCAAAGCCTTCTGATGGGAGAAAAAAAAATCTCAAGATTGAGGAGTGTCATTGATGCTGCTGTTTGGAAGCCTGTTCACGCCGCTCAACAGGTGGCAACACTCCCAAGAACCCACCTCATTTTGTGCTTTCATTTTGGAGCTGGTATTAAATTCATGTAATACAGGACTCTTCCAAAGGTGAATCCTCTGGAATTCCCAAGAGGTGCTCTAGGTTGTTAAGGGAACCTACCTTTGTAACTAAAGAGCATTACTGTGATAACTGTTAGCAATGGTGAGCACCATATATGTACTCATATCAGAGTTGGTTTTGTGCGAGCAGTAGATATCTACTGAACCCTTTTCTATATGCCAAAATATTATCAACCTTCTTTATCTCTAAATGATCATAAACCCCACATAAATGTTTTTGACCCTTGCCTTGATAATCTACTTTTATCAGAAATAAGCAAATAACAAATACCCAAAGCAATGGCTGGAATTTAGGCCAAAAATCACCATCCTGGGTCCCAATTACCTGCCCAGTTTCTAGAACCTGCTTCTATCTACAAGAATAGAGACAGACAGTGATGATGAAGGTTGTATGAGAATGTCCAATAGTTTGGGTGAGTTTGTAGGAATAGAAAATCTTTTCAACAGTTGAAGAGGACATAAAATTCAGGCCAAAATGGGAACAGTTAATGGTAAAGTAAGACTTACATAGATACTGAAGAATTTCTACTTTGTTTTATTAGTTTGTTCTAAGTATATTTTACTCTACTTTGGGGTTTATATACAAACTACTTAGGCTTTAATATTTACATGCCTTTTTAAAATAAAAGGAAGTCAAAATATATAATCATCACTGATTTTCAATCTACAAATTGAAAGTTCATTACAACATTTAGTATATCATATTTACTATAGCTCTGTACAGGACTATTAGACTGTACTCATTCTGTAGTTGGGGTGCAAGTTTTCCACCCCTTTCTAATATCTCATATTGCACCTAGTAACAAATGCTTTTGAATATTTCATGAATTACCTACCCAATAAGTATTGAGGGAAATGTACTGTGAGTCTGTAGTCCTCTCCTATCACTGGGTGGCAGTATATATGCATTGTGGAGGCTTTCACTGCTGAGAAATTTAACTCTTTTAAAAGGTGTGTGGGAGTGGACTCATACAGGTTTGGGGAACTAATTGTATGCATCTCTCCCCAACTCTATGTTCAGTGACATCATGTTGGCAGCTGACCATCGGCCATGGTGAAGGTATTTATACCACAGAAATGGGCAAATACTACATATCATGGCTTTCTCTCCAAAAACTGGTTGTTAAATATTTATCACACAGGTGGTTGTAATAGATTTACAGTAATGTGCATATAATATATTAATCCAAGTTTTAATATTTCCAAAGAAAAAATTAAGTAGCCATTTATGACCAAACTGTATTACAGCCTGTGTTACAGTTTACAAATCTTCTGTATTACAGAAGATTTACAATAAATATCAGGACATTAAATAAATCTGTTTTAAACTATTGCATAAACTTTACTCTTTCAAAAGCCATGAAAGAAAAAAGGAAGGTAGCTAGAAGTGTCAACAGAAAAGCAGCCTGAATTAATCAAGGTTTTCATGTGTTTATTCTGTTTATGCTTTTGGCTTAATGGAGAGCACAACACAAATATCTAATTCTTCTAGTAATTTTTGTCAGTATTCTTGTTCTCTCTTTATGACAGGAGAAACTATTTTTTTCCACTCACAACACTGTAGAAATTAACATCTCATATTTTTACTGTGTCTCCAGGTCAATTATTTATTTGTGTATCTGTTTAGAGATGGCCTTCCACTCTCTGTCCCCTCGGCCCCATCCCAATGATAAGGTCCAGAAGTTGTGTCTCTCTCTTCTCCATCCTGCTATCCCTGGCCCCTAGTACAGTCTAACACTGCTTGGTACATAGTAGGTCAACAATTTTCTGAATGAAAGTTGAGCCAAGGAACATCTGCAAACAAATGTCATGACACCCATTTCACCAGTTCTGGTAATAAGATTAAATGTTGCGTCTAAAATCCTAGTAACATGAATTACATTAAAAAAATACAAATATATTTTAAGTTGTGAAAGATCAAGGGCAACACCACATGCTAACTCTACCTGTTACTATAGTTTTTTTGAGTAATACCAACAGATAGAATCATAACCTTGAAACCCTCACTTACCTGAGGTTGAGAGGGGCTGGCAGTGAAGTAAAAGGCAACATTTGTCCTGAGGAATGTAAGTGGGATAAGTTAGCAAGGAAAAAAATTTTTTTTAGAAGAAAACCATCTTAAACTATTGTAGATGCAAAAAAAAAAAAAAAGCCTTATCCTTTGTGAAGGGAGGTCTGGTCTCATCAAACATACAAAGTAAACTGCATGGGAATTTGGTTTCAACTCTCCAGAATGACCAAATTAGGGGGCAGGGAATAATTTTATGTCTTTAAATACCCATGAAATAATATCTATACAAGTACGTATTTTGTTTACTTTTGTAGACATTTTTGCCTTTGGATTCTCTCAAGATTTTACAAGAAAGCACAGGGTTTAGGTGTCGGAAGTGGGTTGAAAAGGAGAGGGAATGAAAGTTTGAGGTCCTTTTGAATAATGAAGATAACATGTCAAAATAATGTTGATGTACCCATGGCAAAAGATCATGTTTTTAAAAATGGAGTGAGAAGCTAACCAACATGGGAGGGTCCCTAGGAATAGGAGTGTGCTCTTCCTGCTCCCAAGCATCTCCCCAATTGCCTTCCACAAGGCAAAATTCCCCTCCAAGATTTTGTCCTTTGTGGGTTAGGTATTGCCTTCTAAGGCCCTCCTTTAAAAGGCATGTACCACCAAAGGAATATAATGGAGTTATTTTTTCTCTGGTTAGCAATTTACTGTGAATTATTTTATTAGATACTTTCATGTTTCTGTGAAAGACAGCAATGATCCAGCACGGGGAAAGAAGAGTGTGAGAAGCATGCGGGAAGCATACATTTGTAGCATAGAGTGCTGTCTGGAGCGAACATATGGGAAACCGCCCAAGAGGCCGGAAAACACAAAGACAAGTTTGGTGCTCTCTATAGTTTTGTAAAGGCTGCCTTTGCACTTTTGCTCTATTCTGGGTTTTGTCTCATTTTTGGCTGTGAGAATCACTCATACAAGCTCACTGCACTCCCATGTCTACCCCCCTGGGGAATGGCATGCCCCCACCTCTCCAGTGTGGCCTGCATTTCTGGGAATCTTAACCTGGCCATGTTTTGGGGTCCCTCCCCAGCTTCATAGACTGGTGCTGTTTAAAGAACCTTTTTTTTTCTACTTCTAATTTTTCTTTTATAAAAACTAAACAGTTAAGAAAAATTATTAGAGATTTCTTTGAAAGGGCATGTCCAAATATTTAAGCAAGAAGCTGATGATTGGAGGTATTGTTTAGAAGTCATAAAATTTGAAAACTATTTCTAAAGGTGATGACTAACAATTTAGGCTGTTGGCAGACTGGACTCAGACTTTAGCAATGGATGCAATTTTTATATGTCCTCTCTCAACAGAAATCATCATCAGTGTTGAGGATTGGTTCTGCTGAAACAAGGTTGAAAACTTGTAGCCTTAAGTCACCTAAAGAAGCCAAGGTCAGTGACAAACCCAGCTGTGTGTCTGCTCCTGAGATTCCACAGCCAGAGTGAGAACCCACGGTGCTGTGTGTGTCTGGGTAGTGCCTTCTTAGTGTGGGGAGTGTCATATGCTGTCACCAGGGCAATATGGGGCCTTCATTTTTGTTTGTGGCCGGGTCAGGGGAACAAAAAGGATACTGATTTTCTTGGTTATCAACAGACAGCATACGATTTCCAGGAGTAACCAGTTTTCTTTGGCCAGAAGTTATTGGTTTTGTTTTGTTTTTTAATTCCTCCCCCATCATTTTAATTCCAGCTTTAACACTGAATGTATGGCCATCAATATGAATTTTCTGAGGTTATTTTTCTATTCTTTATGTTTTCCTTACTAGGATAACACTTATAAACTTTAAGCACATAATATTTTCTTTTAAGACTATCACATTTAAATCCTCTCTTTCTCATGGAGTCAACAGTATGTGCAAAATAAGCATTATGCCTGTTATAGATGAAAAGTTCTGCTTCCTTCCCCAGGGGCCCTGAGAGAAGTGGGGAAGGTTTCGTTATCAAGGGTCATTAACAAAGAGAACAAAGCCCACTGAGATCCATGTACACCTTTAGTTTTAGAGAAAGAAGTATAAAAAATTCATTTTATTTGTTTCAAACAAAGGAAACAAATATTTACTCAATAGATATAAGAAAAAATAAAAACTGGCTTTGTTCCCTTGCTTTGGCTAGTTTGAGGAAGAGAGGTAGAGAAAAGGAACAGATGGAAGCAAAGGGGATGAGGGCGCTGGTAAGGAAGGCAGGAGAAGAAGAGGAAAAGAGAGGCTCATGGGGAAGGCAGAGAGAGGGGGGAGAAATATAAACAGGAGAGTAATAAATAACACAGAAGAAAAATGAAAGGGGGATGGGAAGAAAGGGTAAGTGCAAAAAGAACCAAGGACAAGAGCTAAGCAGTTTCCGAAGTGAGTACCGGAGAGGACTGTGAGATTCACAGGTTATTCATTTTATGATAGCAAGGCCCCTGGTACAGAGCACAGTGGGCGTTCAAAACCCCCACTTTGTTGTTAAAGAAACTTATAGCGTATTATTCACTTGGACTATGGACTTCAGGATATCATTTCCTGTTATCTACTTACTGCCATCTGTCGTGAACTCCCTTTGCTTACACCAACCCTTCCACCAGCCCTCATTCTCTGTAACCCTCCACCTCATCACTCTGGTCTAAGTATAAACTTTGCATGCATGCACTAAATCCACCCTTTCTTCCCTTCTCTGGGGCTTTCTTTCTACAAAATCCAACTCTCCTATAAATTTTATCTGCTTTTTTACTCTTTGGTATAAATATACTCTAGTCTCAACCATTTTGAAAATAAATAACAAACGAAAGTGCCTCAACAAAATTTCTCCTTTTCTCCTGTATTTTCCTCCTTTGATTCTATATCCTCCCTCTCCTTCACAAACCAGCTCCTTTTTTTTTAAATTAAAGTTTATTGGGGTGACAATGGTTAGTAAAATTACATAGGTTTCAGGTGTACAATTCTGTAATACATCATTTATATATCGCATTGTGTGTTCACCACCCAGTCAGTTCTCCTTCCATCACCATGTATTTGACCCTCTTTACCCTCATCTACAACTCCTCTCCCCCCTTAACCTGTGGTAACCACTAAACTATTGTCTGTGTCTATGAGTTTTTGTTTCTTCATTTGACAAACCAGCTCCTCATCCCTCATTCATTCTTTCCTTTCCCCAGTGCTACCAGGTTTCTTTCCCCACCATCCCCCTAACAGTCACCTCCTAATTACTAAGTCCAGTGACTTTATTTCTCTGTGACTTTTGACACTGACAACCACTCCCTCTGTCTTGAAACTCTTTGCTCCTTTGGGCTCTGTGACACCTGTTTTCCTGGGGTTTCCCCCACACATCTAGCTATGCCTACTCAGCCTCCTTTGATAGTTTCTGTTTCTCAGACCATCCCTTAAATGAGAATGTTACCCACAGTCCTGTTTTTTATCTCATTTCCCATATATATATATATATATATGTATATATGAATATATATATGTATATATGAATGTATATATATTCATATATGTATTCAATTGCCAAAAATATCATATATATGTTCTGTTGCCACAAAACCCACAAAAATGCCAGTGGATCTCCAGTCTCCATATCCAGCCCAGGGCTAACTCCTGAGCTGCAGTCACAGAAGACTCATCACCTGCTGGGCTTCTGCCCTTGACTGTGCCTCAAGCACCTCAAACTCCACACGATCAAAATGGAATGTCCTGTTATTTTGCTGATCCTGACCCACTACGTCTCTTTGTCAATAAACCTCACCAGACTTGGGACATCATTGTCAGAATTGTCTTAGACCCCTCCCTTTAGATCACATCCCACATTTGATTGATCACCAAGACTTACTGATAGTATCAGCATTAAAGTAAGCTGGATGCACCTGCTCCTACCCAAAGCACTGTCTTTGCCCGATATAGCATCCAATAAGAAAAAAAAATTTGAAAAGTAATGTAAATCATTACTGTAGTCTACCCCAAAATACCAAAGGGTGATTACATAGTATGACACAGAGCAAAATGGCCTAAAGTCTCTTCACTCATCCATTTCCTCAAAAAATCGACTACTTCTCACAGCATCTAGCTAAGCTATCTCACTCAAAACTCTCAAAACAAAGACTCAAGAGCCCTACGTAGAAGCCTAGAGGAGGATCGAAGCCTGCAAATACTCATGTAGGACTATATTTTTTATTCTACCACATATATTTGTTGAATTTGAGAATTACCCCCATATATATTACTTGATTCTTTTTCTCCCTTACAACTTTGTCGCTGCCGTAACGTGTTCAGGCTCTAATATTTTATATTCTTCTCTAGTTAACTAACTTTTCATTGGCCTATTTGCCTCTACCCTCCCCTCTCTCCAGTTTGTCTTCCACATTGCCACTAAAGTCATCTCAAAAAATCAGATCTGTATATTATTCTGTTGCGTAAAATCCTTTAGCGGCTCTCATAACTGGAAGGTGAAGTCTAAACTCAGTGCTGCAGACAAGATCTCAAACACCGAGGGTTGGGTTCTGCCTGTTTGTCCAGTCCTGTCTCCTGTAACTCCGCCTCAGGCACCATGTCGACTGGCCTTCCTGAAGCACTTCTACTCAGTGGCTATCTGTAACTCAGACTCTTTCCTGAGCATCATGCTGGTACATATCCAACACTCAGTCAGACATCTGAACTTCAAGTTTAACATGCCCCAAAGTAAACTTATTATCTCTTCCTTCCCTCCTCAAAATTCTCATTTTCTCTTAGTGGTACTGCCATCTACAAGTTAGAAGATCACCCTCGACTCTCTCGTTGCCCTTACCCCTCAAAGCCAATCAAATTTTGTCAATTTCACCTCCAAATTCTTCCGTTCACCTCTTTATAATTTATCTTGACCACTGCATCAATGTTCTAATTTCTCTGCATCCAGTCTTGTCCCCTTCAAATCCATTTTTCACACAACTCTCACAGTGTAGACAACAACCCCCATTTCTTAACATCCTTTCTAAGCTCCTCTCACCCCATGATCAGGTGCCCGCCTGCTCCTTCCCTGTCTGCAACTTCACACT